CTGGGATGGAGTAGTAGTGTTTATGTTAATGGTCGGCGCAAATAAGTTCTGCTTGTTCCCCTAAGTTTTTTCTTGTTTACACTATTAAGAAGAAACTTCACTATTGTGTCCTTGAGTGAACAATTAACGTAGCCGTGATTGATGGTTAAGGATAATTTATTGTTTGAGTATACATAATTAGGTATTGAAATTCACCACAATAAAAACAAATATGATGAAAAAATTGAATTGAGCATACAAATAAAAATTTGACAGTGACAAAATATGATGATAAATGTGCTACTTACTACCACTAATATGATTTGTTATCTTCTTTGCCTTTTAATAAGTGTGTAAAATTTACCTTTTTCCTAAATGATAATTAAGCTTTTCCCTAAATGATAATTAAGGGATTTCACCTAACAAAGATGCTTGTGGAATTTCGTTTCTCATACTCCAATTTTTCGTACATGTCCATTGTGGAAACAATTTCCACCCAAATTATGATCGATATGTTTATTTGGACCACTAAAAGTAACTAAACAGAATAATTAATTTGATGTAGATGAAGTTGGAACTTTATTAACATTTATTATATTGTGATATAATTGACTTGAGACAAAGTTTTGGTAGTATCAAAAGACTTTGCCATGCTTTGAAATCATTCTATAAAAAATACAACTTTATTGATTTTTTTTGTCAAATATGTGATATGAATAAAATATTAGTAGTGTCATTAAATATTTATCAAAATGCATATATCATTTCAAAAAAAATAATCTTAAAAAATGTATCGTATAAATTAAGACTTAATAGATTTTTAAGGCTACTAAAGAACCTTGCTACAACAAACATCTATATCAAAACTGTTAAAACAGTGGTTATATGTAATCAGTTGGTTTAGTTAGTTAATTAAGTGAGTTTGTTATTTTGCTAATTAAGCATAGTCGGTTAACACATGTATATAAATAGGACCTCTTGTTAATATGACGCTAAGTCGGTTAATTCCAATTTTACTGTTCCATTCAATCTCTTCTTCTTTCAACTGCTCTCTATCGATCTCACATGGCTTGGAGCATAGCTTTCAACAAAAACAGAAGCATACTTTGATTGATTGGTGATAGGATATATAAATTTGAATCAAATATTTGTAAAATAAGATAGAGATAATTTTCAAACTTATGATTTTTAAGGTTATGTTTCCCTTGAATTTATATTTTTTTAAAAAACTTGATCATTTTTCAAACAATGGTGATATTTTAGATACAAAAGAGAAAAAATGATAGTTAAAATGTGTTTCCATAAGTATTTTTCAAATAATGATGATATTTTAGATACAATCGGACACTTAACAATTCAATATAAAACTATGAAAAAAACTTTAAATGTGATTTAAATTCTTTTGATTTAAAGAAATACATTTTAAAGTTTGTAGAAGTCAATAACTTCTCAAATGGTTTAGAAAAAAATCAAATCGTAAAAAATAAAAATAGAACTCCTCAAATGTAAAAGGGAAAAAGGACAAATATACCCCCGATCTTTCGAAAATAGTATGTCAATATCCTCCGTCATACTTTTCGTCAATTAGTGCTCTTGCCGTCCAATAATCAGTGCATATTTTCCCCTCCCACTAACGGACCACTCATTTTGTACACATGGCACAATCCTAAGCTACAACCCGAGTTGATCAATTATTTAACCCAAATTTTAAAAATCCACCCATAACCAATTTAACCCACCGAATTTACCCACAAATAAACTATGGACCAAAGTTCAACCAATATATCGGCCATCACCGTCAGAGACACAAAAGAACCCATGGAAGAGAGCCACCATTTAAAGGTCCATTACTATGAGAGAGCTGTCCAGATGTGCATGGTGAAACATCCTGTTGTTGTACATCACATATATAAAAATCAATCGATGAAATAATAGATAATACTAAAAATTATAGAAAAATGGGATCACTAAGGATTTGAAAATTGCAGAACCCCAAAAACAAAGAGACAAATAATTAAATGTTTTTCTTATAACAGAGAAAATGGAGAGAATGATTGTTGGTGGATGTTAAATTATTAAAATAATCAAAGCAAAACCCGGAGAGAGTAAAAAGGGTCTCTCTTAAAAGCAAAAATAAATTAAAATACACTTGTTAATGATTTCAAGAAATCATAAAGTAACAGTTGTGTCACCATTAATGTCCCCAACTCAGCTTCTTTCAAGAAGTTGTTGGTTTTCCCATAAATTCAAAAAAAGAAAGTAAAACCCACCAAAAAACTCCAAAAATAAAAAAAATGAGTTTCACTTGAAAACAAAAATAAACAAACAAAAAAAGCCAAATTACCAAATTTCTTTGTTTTTTTTTCCATAAAAAACATAGCAGTGAAAAGGGGTATTTACAGACATAATGTGTTCCATAATAAGCTGAAAAGTTTTAAAAGATGCAAAAGAAAAAGGGTTACCGGAAACAATGGCTGATTCATCTAACTCTGCGGCAATATCCTCCGGTAAAATACCATTACCGCTCCCAATATAAGAAGGGGCAGCAGGAAAAAGTGACTTAGGTAAAACTTGAGGAGGAGCTAAATCTTTAGAGACTTCAAGAACTGGATAGAAATTCCATGGGTTCTTTTGGTGTCTACATTGGCTGAACTTGGTTCATAGTTTGTTGTGGGTAAATCGGGTGGGTTAAATGAATTATGGGTGGGTTTTTAAAATTTTGGTTAAATAATTGGTCAATTCGGATTATGGCTTAGGATTGTGCCACGTGTACAAAATGAATGTTTCGTAAGTGGGAGGGGCAAATGTGCACTGATTATTAGACGACAAGGGCACTGACGGACGAAAAGTATGACGGAGGGTATTAACATACCATTTTCGAAAATTCGAGGATATATTTGTTCTTTTTCCCAATGTAAAATATACTTAACACACATCAGATTGACAAATGAAAAGATTGCACATTGTTAACTAAATACTCCTCTAAAGATGGTCATGGAAAATATCTATAATCTCTTCAACTTTTAGGATGCATATAGCTCTAATGGTAAGAATCTTTTATGGATTGCAATTAGTATTTTTTCTATTTTCAATCGAATACTTCCCCGTGTAAATTTATATAACACAATTTGACTAAATAAAGTTTAAGAAATGTGAAAAGATTTAGGAAAATTTTAAAATTATCCTTAAAAAAGTATATGTTTGTGGACTTTATACCAAACAAATGGGACCATACGTGAATGAAATATATCACTTTCGTTGTTCCAATTTAGGCTTCATTTGTTACGCTTAATGCATCATTTATATTCATCCCATTAAATGTGCTTGATTTTAAGGTTGAAGCTTAATTATTTAAATTCACTCAATTAAGTCTATTTTTTAAAAAAGAACAAACCTCTTCATGGATCTGAAAATATCTGAACGAATTAAATCTGTAAGAGAGTTTTAAAATCAATCAAATTTATATAATTTCATATGCATATTCAGATATTGAAAACAATCAGTTAATCATTTAGTCTTAAGATTTGAAGACCACATCTTAATATTTATATGTGTATTCCGATCAGGGGCGACTCAACATAATTTGTGGCCTAAAGCGAAATTTTTATTAGAGACCTAAAATCTATATAAATTTTATCTATATCTATTTATTTTTCTAAATTTCTAGACGTAAATTACTACTTAATATCTTTTATATAAATGATTTTTCAAAACACTTATTTTTTAATTATTAGTTTTAAGTAAGATTTTATAAATTCAACATTGAAAAACATCCTTTTATTGAGACAATTATTATATGAATTATTAACACAATTTTATAAGTAATAAGTTGATAAACTTTAAAGTTAAGAGTTAGAATCATAGAATTTGATTCAAAAAGTTGATAACTTGGTATACCTACTTTAATATGAAAATTAACAAATAAATTTTAAAAAAAATTGTAATGCACTTTGTTCAACACTTTTCGACTATTGATTCATATTTTTGAGAGTGTATTCTCTAACTATCAAAGATTTGAAGAAATAGAGTGCAAAAAGAGTTACAAAGGATAAATAATGTGAGTGTTAACGAAGAAAATGTAAGAATCCAAAACAATGTTTCCTTAATTTCTTCTATTTGAATGGGGTTAAGATACATAATTTTTTATTTATAAAAATTTGAGGCCCCCAAAAATTGGGGGTTGCAGGCCAATGCCTAAAATTTTATAGGCAAGAGCCGGCCCTGATTCCGATCTAGGCATCTATAATCTTAATGCACATGCGTATTCAAAATCAGACGTCTTAATTTTAATGGAAACAAATTAGGTCTTAGTTGTCACCATTTTTTATTTCACGTCATTTAAGAAATTAGGTAAGTTTTCAATCAATGAACATGAGTTGATTTATTTTAATTAGTTAATTTGACCAATGAATGCAAATTTATTTACTTAATTTTTTCTATGTTGATCAAATATATATTTTTAGTTCTAATAACTTTCAACGGTAAATTAGAAAAAATAATACCATTTATGCATTGATTTTATGAAATGACAAATATTAAAGACGATAGGTAAATAAGAACATAAGAAATATTGTTTAAAGATTACTTCATCCGTTCATTTTTAATTATCATGATTTTCTTTGTTAGAGTCAAACTACAAGAACTTTTATTAACATTTTGTGATAATTTATTATCACATTGATATGCAAAAAAATTTAATAATTTAAATTTTTTATTCAAAATATCGAATTAAGATAATATAATTTAACTTTAAAAATTAGTTAAATTCAAAATTGGACTATATTATTTATAGCTTGAAATAAAAGAGTATCATGGAGTATTAATTACTTTTTCCTTTCTAGAGAAAAATATTCAAAAATATAGTAGTCAACGGTCAAGATAATAATTAGTTAATTGTGGCTGGTTAACTAATGAGTTATTGACTCAAATAAAATGTGGTAGAAAATTATTTCCATTTGCTCTCTTAATTAAGTAGAAAAAAAGGAAACCGCCAAGTCACACATTTGCTCTTTGACCTTGAAAGTTTAATCACTTTCCCATTTTCCTTTTCTTCTTCTCCCAATATTCACCGCCTGAACGCCGGCCCGGCGGCTCCCCTCATCGGCAACTGAGAAAAATGTCTGAAAATCACCCTCATGTTCTCATCTTACCTTATCCAGCACAAGGCCATATGCTTCCCCTTCTGGATTTCACTCATCAGCTAGTCAACAATGGAGTAGCCATCACTATTTTAGTCACCCCCAAAAATCTCCCAATCTTAGACCATCTTCTCTCCAGGAATCCATCAATAAAAACTCTCGTTTTGCCTTTTCCATCTCACCCTTCAATTCCCGCCGGCGTAGAGAACGTCAAGGACCTTCCTGCTAGTGGGTTCCGTTCCATGATGTACAATCTCGGAAAACTTCGAGATCCCATATTGGAATGGTTCCGCAACCACCCTTCGCCGCCGTCAACCATAATTTCCGATATGTTATTGGGGTTTACTCACGAAATCGCCACCCAGCTCGGTATTCGCCGGTACGTATTCTCCCCCTCCGGCGCGTTGTTCCTATCTGTTGTTTATTCACTTTGGCGTGAAATGCCCAAAAGGAAAAACCCCAACGATGAAAACGAATATTTTCACTTCCCCAATATCCCCAATTCCCCGAAATTCCCTTTTTGGCAGCTCTCTCCTATTTACCGGAGCCATGTTGAAGGAGACCCAAGTTCGGAATTCATCAGAGAATGCTATCTCGCTAATATAGCGAGTGACGGAATCGTTTTCAATACGTTTATGGAATTGGAAAATGTTTATTTGGATCATCTGATGAAAGATTTGGGTCACAACAGGGTATGGTCTGTTGGACCAGTACTTCCTCCGGGAGAGGATGATGTTTCCGGCCAATCAAACAGAGGCTGTTCGAGCTCTGTTTTAACTAGTGAAATACTAGCATGGCTTGACAAATGTGAAGATCACTCGGTTGTATACGTCTGTTTCGGCAGTCAAGCTGTGCTAACAAACAAACAAATGGAGGAATTAGCCATAGCTTTGGACAAAAGTGGTGTCAAGTTCATTTTGTCGGCAAAAAGAGCCCTCAAAGGACACGCTTCAAATGATTACGGCGTGATCCCGTCTTGGTTTGAGGAAAAAGTGGCTGGACGGGGCCTGGTTGTTAGAGACTGGTCCCCGCAAGTGTTGATATTAAAACACCAAGCTATAGGCGCGTTCTTGACTCATTGTGGTTGGAATTCGACTCTCGAAAGTTTAATAGCCTGTGTACCAATGTTAACATGGCCGATGGGTGCTGACCAATTTGCCAATGCGAACCTTTTAGTTGACGAGCATGAGGTAGCTATTAGAGCTTGTGAAGGTGCGCAAACGGTACCAAATTCGGACGAGTTGGCTAAGTTACTGGCGGAAGCTGTGCAAGGAAACAACGTAGAAGAGCGAAGACTTCGTGCATCGGAGCTACGAAAAGTTGCAATTAATGGCATTAAAGAAGGTGGGAACTCATTCAAAGATTTGGCAGCGTTCGTAAAACATTTAAGGGAGGAGGCTACAAAAATCGAAGTGTAAAACAAACTTTTGAGGCAATTAAAAATTCTAGAAAGGCTACATCGTTGGATTTATCGTTTACAATACCCATATGTAAGCATAGATTATTTTATCTATTAGATATGGAAATAAACATTATGGGTAAGTGTTTGCAAATTTGCACGTTGAATCTAATAATAAGCGAATATGTTTGGTGAATCTAATAATATGCAATTAATATGTTTGGTGAAAAAATGCTTGTGTTAAATGACTAAAATGCTTTCAAAGCTATTTACAAAAAATGAAAAAAAGGACTTTTGTTTATAAGTATTTTATTTTTTAAATATAATTGTCTAATAGGAGTACTATATTAAGTCAAATCGTTATTATAAATTAAACCAACTACCCTAGAAATTTTTTTCTCATAGTGATCAACGTTACCGACTTTTCCAATGTTGTAGGTCAGGCAAGTGGAAATATTTGGTCTGCTTTTTTGTATTTTCCACAAACTTTCTTTAACTTCAACAATATATTGACAGAATGGTCTGATGAACTCTTATACTTGTACAAGTTTATATTATAATTCTTCTATTTGATCATTTTTCAACTGAACCCTTAAACTTAATCAAACTCAATATTTTAAGCCCTTTTAACCATTGACCAAGCTTATGTGACAACTTAATTATTGAGTTGGCACAAATACATGATATCACGCGTTGAAGGAGCGTGAACATCAAAATTTAGACTAAATTTTTTTTAAAATAAAAAATAAAAATAAGAAAATTAAAAATGATTTTTTTACTTCTTTCTTCTTTTCCTTCCCCACCAACCCTTATTTCTCTCTTTTTTTCCCTTCCCAGCCCTCTCCGGTTTTTTTTTTTTTTTTCATATTTTCTTTCTTTTTGAGAAATGATAATGTATTGGTGATGTAGATATATGTAATCTTTTCATTTTTTTGGTAATTTACAACCCATGGGGTGACAAAGATTCAATAGTTTTGAAGGATGAAAAGTGATTGTTGGATATCTTTGTGAAATTAGGTGGAATGTGTTATGTAAAATTGTATACAAATATAATGATATATTTAAGTATTTTAATGGTGATTTATTGACATCAATGGTGAAAAATGATTTATGGTGGTTCAAATGATGGTAGATGATTACGATTAAGATTTGCAATGATAAAAACTTTGAGAAAAACTGAACTATGATTTTTAAGAACTTGAAGGGCCTTGTCATGGTAATAGATAATGACGGCCTGAAGAAGAATTTTCTTTTTTAAGGAGAATAGAGATGGTGTTAACGGTGGTTGTGGGTTGAGGAAGGAGAAGTAAATGTGAGAGAAATAACTATTTTATTTTATTTTTTAAAATAGAAAACTTATTATTTTTGTCTTTTGTGGAGTAACATTTTTGGTTAATAATTTTAAAATAGTTATGAATTAATTATGACGTGACATTAATATATGTGACGGGGGTATGAAATGTCATTTATCTAAGAGAGAGTGAGCTACACAATGGTTGAAAAAGATTTTAAAGTCTCATTTTAATTAAGTTTAAGGATTCAGTTGACAAAGGTTCAAGTAGAAGGGTTCATAATACAAACTCATGCCAGTATAAGAGTCCATAAGTTCATTTCGCCACAATATATGCGTCGTCTTACTTCATATTATATGGAGTAGTATTTTTGTTGTTCAAATTTCTTGGTCGTTGCTTCATCTTTTATTTTGAATGACGGGGATAGTGAGGAAAAAATATTTATTTAATGAAGTTGAAGAATCATTGTTAAGTTAGTAACTATCTTGTCTGTGGTTGGAAGAGTTGGTGCAGGGCTAGGGCGAAATGTTAACTGATATTGTGAACGAGGGCGAGAAGACATGCTTCGCCAGCTGCATAACTAATATAATTAAGCTTGCGAAAATTCTACTTTTCAAACCCCTACGAGAGATTATACTGGGTATATTATTGTCTGTTGCTTGCGGAATTATTTTGGATCATGTGTATGCGAATGTAATTGAGGCATTAGTTATATCAAAATCAAGAATTATTTAGGGCCCCTAGTTATATTGCTATGAGTCCTCCCCAGTCCAATAAGGATAGAATAACGTTCACATATAGCAAACACAAAAATTATATTTGTATGTTATAGATATAGTTTGCATAATTGTGCTTCATAGCAAACTTTATGTTTGCTTTGGCTATTTCGCTATACATATATACAAAAGAAACTGGTTATTTTTCTATACATATATACAAAAGAAACAATTGTATAATCTGTTTCGGTATACATATACAAAAGAATCAATTGTATAATCTGTGTTTGTATAAAGCGAGAAAGAGAGAAAGACAAAAGAAAACTAGGCAGGGGAAGATCGTATTTGTTTAATCATAAGGGTATAGGATGAAAATATCTACATTTGTATAAATAATTTTCTCTCGCTTTATACATACACAAACGCAATATACATTTGTGTTTGTATAAAGTGAGAGAGGCGAGTGAGAGTGGCGAGCGAGATCTGGAAGGGTGGAATGAAAATATATGTGTATATACAATTTTCTCTCGCTTTATACAAACACAAACACATTTTATATATTTGTGTTTGTATAAAAACGAGAGAGGCGAGCGAGACTGCCCAACGAGAACAAGAGTGGCGAGCGAGATTCACTGGGGAGAGAGACGAAATAACAATAGTTTGCTATGGGGTACAATTAAATCAAACTATAGTTATAACATTTAATTTGAATTAATAGTTTGTTATTATATACAATTTTATATTCATCAACTAACTATCGGGCTGAGAAGAACATTGGGTCGAAATTGAGCAACAGGGCCAGGCTAATTAGGGCCCCGGGTTAATTAGTGTGATTTTGGGATTATACAATGTAATTGTAACAGTCTAACAGGAAAAAGGGAAAAGCAAAAAAAGAAAAATAAAATGGCCTCTCCCACTATTTAGAATTGTTGTGATACTGATGCACTTCAATTAAGAACTGTAATTTCAACTCAAAAAGACGTGGTCAAATTCGTAGGTGGCCACCTAAAGTTGACACTAAATTTTACTTAGACATCTTAATTGGGCGATGTTCATTTTAGACACCTAAATTGAGCGATATTCATTTTAAGCACTTCTTATAGGGTCTCGTTGTATCATTTTGACACTTATTGTATGTCAAAGTGAGTGTGATACACTCAACAATAGAGCGTGAAAGGCTCAATTTAGCTAATTTTTATTTTATTTTCTCTTCTTCTTCTCTATTTTTCAAACCACCGAAGTTTAAACGCCTTCGATGGAGATTGAATTTTTTATTCAAGCCATTTTTCTTCTTCTTCATTGTATTACTTTACTAAATCTACAATCACCTCCCTCCACTTTTTTTGCCGGAAAAATGGATACCAACTCATACTCATATTTATTCTCTCTTTCTTTCTTTCTCTCCCTCTTTTCTTCCCACAAAACAAAACTAAAAAGAAAGAAAAAAAAATATGAAAAATAGCAAAAGAAAAGAATTAATTTTAAAAAAAAGTACAAACGAGATTTTGAGTGTAATGAAAAAGGATGATTTTTGATGGAAAAGGAGGGTAAGGTACCATCACCGTTCTCTATCTTTTTCGTCGAAAAAATGGATACAAACACTCATATTTTATATTCTTTCTTTCTTTCTCTTCCTCCCTCCTCCTCTCTTTTTCTCTAAAAAAAAACACCAAAATAGAAAGAAAAAAAACATATGAAACAATTAAAAAGGTAGATTAAAAAAAAATGTTGGGTGTAGTAGAGAAGACAACTACCATCGATGCAGAGGGGGTGGAGGGGGGGGGGGTTAAATTTATATTTTTAGAATAATATTTTAATTATATTTACAAAATAGATTTTTAAACAATTATTAACTTGAAATGATACATATAAGCATTTAATTGGTTGTTTGCCACATTATCAACGAGTGTATTACACTTGTAATATCTCGCTATTTGAAAGAACTATTTTTTATTTATTTTTTATTTTATTTTATTTTTTTTTATTTTTTTTACCGTGGTTTCCGGGCGTCGCTTTGCAAACCCGACTAGCTGTACCCACCGGGTCCCGCTGTTTCAAGGCAGGTCCACCACGGTTAGTTCCACGGGGCCCTGGAGACGCGGCCGGTTTGTAATGCCTCCAGTGGCCCTGCTGGGGCTCGAACCGGCGACCTGAAGGACTTTGTGAAATCTGTGGACTCTTTCCATCTTTTCACACTTCTTTCCGTACTAGTTCATTAGTAATGTACCTATGTTTTCTAGTCAAATTCTACACTCTAAGGTAAGTTTAAACATCATGAAATCATCCATAAACATGAGATCGTGAACCTTGAATCGATAATTCAATTCAAGGAAAGTAAAGAGTCAAGTTAAGAGAAGTTCATATAGTTTTCAAAAATCTTTTACAAACGTTTTAACTTTGTTTTAAGACTTGAGTTTTGAGTTGAGCAAATAGTAAAGAGTTAAGTTCATTTTTTCAAAAGTTATATAGGAACTAAGTATTCCCAAGAGTTAAATGTTTTCACATTTAAACAAGAGAGGAAACATCGATTTCCAAGAGAGCTTTTAAGCTAAGTTTTGAGTAATTATCTCAAATCAAAGAAAGAGTTTTGTTTTAAAAACATATGAGCTGAGTATATTTTGAGAGTAGTATTGAGCACCGATATGGGGACGAGTTCATAATAACTCAAGTCTCCATAAACCATGTAGCCATCATGGATAGTGTTTTTTAGCATAGACTAGTGGATCCACTTAGTTGAGGCGTTCTATATCACAACAAGGTATAGGACAGTTCTGGCAGCGTGGGCGAGACATTATATCATCACTTAGGCTCATAGTGGTGGTTGTCGGTTAGAGAAACTGCCATAGTATTATATTACCTTATATGTAACTGAGTTGCTATTGTATTTCTTTAATTCTTTGAGTTGTCACCTACAGTTTTAAATAATTTGTATGTACTGCACTATTATTGTTGTTTTTACCCTGCATTTGAGTTGAGTTATTCATGAGTTGAGTAAAGCCAAGGTAAGTGTTCTTTTCAGATTCCTTTCAAGCTTATGTTATGTTTAGTTTTACCCTCGCATACTCGTACATTCAATATTCTGATGTCATTTGGCCTGCATCGTTTTATGATGCAGTCACAGGTAACCAGAATTAGCATCTAGCGCCTCGTTGATCCAATTGAGTACTCAGAGTCAGTTGGTGAGCCTCCTTGCTATGGAGGACCCTTTTTATCATTTGATTTAGTACTTTAGTTGTTAGGATGATCGAGGGTCTTGTCCTGACGTTCCTCTTTGTTTTAGAGGCTTCATAGACGAATAGTCATAGTTCTTGAATCTTGTATTTCAAATGTTTTTGCTATAAGTCTTGAGTTGCCATTTATGGCTAGTTTGAATGTTTATCCTTAAACGTTATAAGTTTATTTGAGACAGTTGTTTTTAAAGTGTTTTTGAATCCATGTATTAATGTTTAAGTCTTCCACTATAAGTTAAGCCAGACCAAGGGTTCGCTTGGGGCCAGCAATGGTTCTCGAGTGTCAGTCCCGCTCAGGGTGTAGGCTTGGGGCGTGACAACACTCCCCTTCAGTTTTTTTATTGTAAAGAAAGGTGTCAAAATAACACAGCGGAACCCTATATGAGGTATCTAAAATGAACATTGTTTAGTTAAGATGTCTAAGTAAAATTTGATGCCAACTTTAGAGGCCACCGATAAATTTTAGCAATGACTATTAGAAGTTGATATCTAGAAGGGTTATCATTGATCATGCAAGAAACTTTAGTGTCATAAAAAAAAATCATTTCAGATTTCTTACGTGTAAAAATAATATAAGTTTGTAAACCATGTGATGTTACAGTTTTTCATCGGCGCCAAATTGAACTTTAATCATAAAATACTGTCTCTCAGAGATTCTTAGCAGTAGAATTATTTTTAAAAAAATGGTCTTCCTGTTTTGTCAGTGTTACTGTATAGAACATTAAGGAATCAAAATACTGTAGTACATCACACCTAGAAAAATAAATAAATATTGTAGTACTATTAACCAGTACATGAAGGCACATGCCTGATGCCACTAATCAAAATTGGGTTATTGTTTAATTTCCATCCCATGAGGGGGACAAAATTGTTGAACCAAAACCAAAAAATTAAATATATTTTAAGGATTTGATGTGTGGAGAGGCTGGGAATTGTTGATCGGGGTTTGTGTGTTGGGTTTCAAAGTAATTAGGATATCATGCGAAAGTTTATAATTACAAATTAAGATAACAATAAATTAAATAACAAATTTATATTAAAAACATAATATTAAATATATGAAAGAAAAAAAGACAAATACATTTTCGAACTATCGTAAATAGTATGCAGATACCTCCGTCATACACTGGTACCTCTTACATGAAAACTAATATAAAAGAAAATATTAAAACGGTTGAGAGAAAAAGTGCACCCATAAACAAATAATCAAATATAGAAGAGAAAAAAGTTTTCCCTTCGAAAGAAACTAATCATGCATGAGAAGATGAGTCTTCAAATTTTAGGGTTTCATAAGTTTTCCCTAAGAAAAAAATAATCAAATATAGAAGAGAATTATAATTTTTTTTCAGATAAAAGTTAAAGCATTTATGGTAATACTTTAAACTTACTTCGAAAGAAAAGTAAAACTCAAATATGATAAGAAAATCAGGGCAAAATATTGTGACCGGGCTTGCGTCTTGGCCTTCCAACATAGTCTTTCATGGTGAAAAACTCAGTCGCATCATCCTGAAAATTCTCTGATTCAAGATTCTCAAATGATCCATTATCATCAGATTGATCATCGTTCTTCGAGTTGTCTGTACTTGCTGAATTCATCGAATCCCTCTCATTGTCCTGATCATGAAATTCAAATTAAGGGGAGAGAAATCACTCAAACTAGTGTCAGGCAAATAGTAAATAAAATTACATATATTTAAAAGAGGAGAACCTGATGATGTACGTTCTTTCGTGAGTCGTGACCAAGATGCCTATCGTAGTTTCCTGCATTTTAAAGGAGAAAATGCCAAAATTGAGAAATAATTTCTTTTTCTTTTCCGTTCCTTTGATCATTTCCAGTTCGCTAAATGCAAATTAAATAGGCTACAGCTAGCTGCAGATATAAGTTTAGTTGAGCAAAACGAAACAATTTAGACACTTGATGAAGCTAGCAGGGAGGAGTTGATCGAGAACATAGGAAAAACATATTTCCATTCACTTAATTTGCTTGAGAAAAAAAGAATAGATGGATCAACTACAAAGAATTGTGATACTCTTGCACGTAACGCGAATCTGAAAATTCGTGCAACTTTCTATTTATACATACAAGTATATATAGTACTATCCCTTTTTCACAAGAACATATAACTGAAGAAAGGCATCTAATTAGATCTACCAAAAAGTTTTTCTCTTGCACTTGCCGCACCTGATGATTCAGTTTTCTTCACTTCCATCATGTCTTTCTTTCTCTCTATCATCATTTTTCTTCCTTCCATTTTTCCAATGCTGAATTCCGCAGCTGCCGGTACACCATCCAAAACTTCCTGAAATTTCAATTTTAACTTTGAAAAATAAGAAATTTGATCACGTGAAATCACAACAAGTGAGGCCTTATACAAGTGGTTGAACAACTTCATCATCAACCAGTGAAGTTCGAGTCACACGGGATGATAAGTGAAAACACAATTGATCCTCCTGAATTGAGGTGGAAAAAAAGGGGAAATTATCAAATCAACTTTAGTACCTTGTTCGTAGGTGGGTGAGGTCTTGGCATGTGATAATCATCATTAAGATTGACAAAACTTCCTCTGTTGGCCTTCATTGAATGGCTTTTACTACTTATACCGCTCATTTCTCTCAACTTCCCCTGCCCTTTATGGTACTTTATATTTCCAACAGAATGGATACTTGCACTTGCCGCACCTGATGATTCAGCTTTCTTCACTTCCTTCATGTCTTCCTTTTTCTCAATCATCATTTTTCTTCCTCCCATTTTTACATTACTGAATTCAGCAGCTGCCGGTACACCATCTAAAACTTCCTGAAATTTCAATTTTAACTTTGAAAAATAAGAATTTTGATCATGTAATAAGTGGTTGAACAACTTCATCATCAACCAGTGAAGTTCGAGTCACGCTCGATGATAAGTGAAAACACTATTGATCCTCGTAAAGTGAGGTGGGAAAAAAGGGGAAATTATCAAATCAACTTTATTACCTTCTTCACACTCAGATGACTCCTTAGATCCCTGATGTTGTCAATTTCAGCCTCATGGACTATTTGTTTAGCTGCATAAGGAAGAACAACTATTTAAATTTCCATTGAAAAACAAAATTATAAATGTATTGAAGAGTGGAAAAAAAGAGAAAGGCAGTACATACCTTGGTCATCAGTATGAACAATTGTATCCTTTATAGTAAGAAAAATGAAGAGAAGCATAACAAACATAAAGGAACTAAAACTTAGAGACACCATTTTTTGACCTCTTTTCTTTTTTGTTATACTCTGCAATAAAGGAGAGGGAGGATGCACATGGAAGGAAACAGGGGAGATTTATAGAAAGCCCAAATTCCAAAACCAAGTCAAAGCTAGGGTAAAATGTTAACTGATATTGTGAACGAAGACGAGGAGATATGCTTCGCCAGCTGCATGGTATGTAACTAATTAAGTTTGCGGAAATTCTACCCCTCAAACCCCTACTCGTGAGATCACACTGAACATGTTATTGTTTGTTGCTTGTGGAAATTCATCTGAAAATTTCGGATCAATGTGTATGCAAATGTAATTTAGGCATTAGTTATATCAAAATCAGGAAATATTTAGGGGGCCTAGTTATATTATTATGAAGGGAAAATTACGTGATTAAGCAAACTTATACTATTTAATTACTCATCATAGCTATAGTTTTCTATAATTACCACTTGTGATCACCTAATTTTTGATCAAAACATAAAAATTTTACACCCAATTTTAATACTTAAATATTATTATTCTAGTAGGGTTATAATTAAAATAAACTGAAAGTTACAACAAATTATAAGTTCACTTTATGTTTAAAGTTTAATAAAGAGAGCTTTTGAATTTAACGTATTTAGTTTTAATCTTTCAAATTTTATCTAGTCTAAAAAATAATAATAATCGTATATATCATGGAAAAGTAGAAAAAATAATAATAAAAGATAAAAAGAAGAGTCCTAAAAATTTCAAATTACCTTACCTTTATCCTAATTACCCCAACTTCCTTAACTTATTTGCTAAAAATCCTCCTCCCATTTAGTTTTTTTTATTTTTTATTTTTTTTCTCTTCTATTTTTTTTTTCTTTTCTTCTTCTTTTTTTTTTTATTTTTTTTTTACACGTTTCTTTTTTTTTTTCTTTTCTTTTCTTTCTTTTCTGTTCGTTCTTTCTTTATTTTATTTTTATTTTTTATTATTTGTTTGTTAATATTATATTACTATTTTTCTTCCTTTATCTCAATCCTAAAATTCTCAACTAAATTTTAAATTAAATCCTATGCACACTCCATCACGTTCCTTTTAATTAGCACCAGACTCACACCCCAAACTATTATAAAAACATACGCTCAGTAAAGAAAAAGAAGAGGCATACACACAGAAAAAAACAGAAACACAGAGAGAAAAAAATATAACAAAAAGTGAGTTTTATTTTTTGAGAATTAGGTCAGCGTTCGAGGTTTCGCTCAAAGTTTCGGATTCGTGGCTCTTTAAAGTTAATATTAGCTATTAACTTTGGAAATCAGTAGATAGTAGCAGTTGTTTTTGTGGTATCAATTTTCGCAGCGAGGTAACTCTAAATTCTCGCATGATTTAAATAGAAGATTTGTATGAAAACTCGATTCCAATAATATGAAGTTCTTTGAATCGCATATTATTATTATGTAATAGCAATCTGTGATGCATGTTGTGATTATTTTTGAGAATTTATGAATGCTTAGGAAAACGAAACCGAAGATGTTTCTTGTTAAAAAAATAATATAAAAATAAAAATAAATGATGTATCATACATTTTTTTTTATTTTGTCTTATGCTCTTTAGATGCAATTGATATTAAAATTGATTTCATGATATTTAATTTTGAATAGATAATATTTCTTGGAGCTTAGTTTTCATTTAAGAAATTTTGTTGAAATTATTTATAGACTTAATGCTTTTGATGTAAATAAATAAAAAAAAAACTTAATTAATTAATGATTCAGAAAAAGCTATGTGGAATATGTTTTAGTCCTTTTATTTTTATTTTTGATTAAAAAAATAGTTTATCTTGATAATAAGCATAGGAAAACTATTACTTTAAGTAGAATTGTTAATTAAGAGTAGAATAAATCTTATTTAGAAATTCAGTATTAAGAATAATAATATTATCATTATTATAAATAATAATAATAATAATAATATCAAAAAAATAAAGAGGAAAACTAATGAATTTTTTTTTGAGAAAGTATAAAAAGAAAAGAAGAAATTTTTTTTAAAAAAATAAATAAAAAGAAGAGCAATAACGTAAAAAAAAAAATGAAATAAAGAGGATTAAAAAGAGAGAAAACAAAAACATAACAAAAAATAAAAAAAGTAATAAGAAGACAAACAGAATGTAAAAAAAATAATAAATAAATAAAATAACATTAAAATAATAAATAAATAAAGAATAAAAAAAATAAAGAAGAAAAGTAGAAAGAAACAGAACAAAAACTTAAAAAGAGAAAAAAAAAATGATTAAAACAATAAAATAAAATAAACAATAAAAAAAAAAGACAAGAAGCAGAATGTCCAACAAAATAAAAAATTATAAAAAGGATAAAGTAAAAAAAAAAAAAAAACGTAAAATAAAATACAAAGAGACAAAGAAAAAATTAATAAATTAATAAAACCCAAAACGTAAAAAAGAAAAAAAAAAGTAAGGAAAAAAAAAAGAAATTAAAAATCAAGAAGGAAAAATCTTTCTAAAAAATAGTCCTAATCTATTTAGAATTTCTTGCTAAAACTAATCCAGATCACATAAAAATTTATTTCTATTTTAAATCTAACTAAAAAAAATTCAATCCTAAAATACTCAAACTCAAAAAATCTCAATCCTACACAAATTCTAATTCCTAGCAATTAGATACCTATATATTTTCTATCTACAATAAAAATAAATAAATACAAATACATGAAAAAGAAAAGGAGAAGAAAAGAAATTACAAGACATTTCAAGATTTGTAAATATCCATCTATTAACTTTACTTTATTATGTTTGAATAAATTTATGTGATATACATTTTTTTTATACATTTTTCTAATTAACGAACATATATTAATATAATATAAATAGGTTCAATAATGAGGTAAATAACTTTTATTAATAAGTTAATAATACAATATTTGAAAATTAATTTAAGTCATATATAGGCAATGAAGTGACCGTGCTAGAACCACGGGACTCGAGGGGTGCCTAATACCTTCCCCTTGGTCAACAGAATTCCTTACCCGATCTTTGTTTTCGCAGACCAAATAAAATAAAGAGTCAAATTTCCTTTTGATTAGGGATTTAAATAAGGTGACTTGGAACACCAAAACTCAATTTCAAGTGGCGACTCTGAATAATAAAATAATCCCTTTTCAAAATGTTACTTTAATTGGAGAAACTCTTTTTCTTTCAAAACATACATAAATTAATTTTGAGGGAAAAAAAAGGGGTGTGACACCACTCGCGACTAACATTATACATTAATTACATGGACTGACTTCGAGTTTGTATAATTAGCCAATTCGCCAGAATATACAAATACATATGTATAATTCGCTAGAATATACAAATACATATGTATAATATACAATTATCTAACCGATATACATATATAATTCACCTCTCTCCCACTCTCTCCTCCCTCTCCCTCTCCCTCTCCCTCTCCCTCTCCCAATCTCGCTCGCCTCTCTCTTCCCTTTCCCAATCTCGCTTGCCATATATACAAATGCATATGTATAATATAAATTTTATCTAACCGATATACATATACAATTCACCTCTCTCCCACTCTTTGCCCTCTCTCGCTCGCCTCTCTCCTCCCTCTCCCAACCTCGCTTGCCATAAATACAAATACATATGTATAATATACAATTATCTAACCGATATACATATACAATTCACCTCTCTCCCACTCTTTGCCCTCTCTCGCTCGCCTCTATCCTCTCTCTTCCAGTCTCGCTTGCCTCTCTCCTCCCTATAACATGTAACTACGAATTGTTATTATCAAATTATAACTATGGAGAGTAATTAAGCTATTCTTGAGTGGCTATATATGAAAGTTCCTCTATTGTGAATTTTCCCCAACCCAATAAGGATATCCTTAAATAGCTATCGGGCTGAGAAGAGTTATTGGGCCGAGTCTGAGCAACAGGGCCAGGTTAATTAGGGCTTCAGGTTAATCAGTGTGATTTTGGGATTACACAATATTGTGATTATACAATGTAATGGTAACAGGTAAAAGAGGAAAGCAAAAAATAATAAGAAATAAAATGTCTTCTCCTACTATTTAGAACTGTTGTGATACTGATGTAAAAGATGTGCACAGTAAGAAGTTGACGTCCACAAAGGTTACCATTGATCATTGCAAGAAACTTTAGGGTCACAAAAAATCATTTCAGATCTTTTACGAGTAAAAATAAAAAAGATTCGTAAAAATGACATAAAACTAAAAATGCTGGAAACTAACCATGTGACGTTACAGTGTTTCATCGGCGCCAAATTGAGCTTTAATCATAAATTACTGTCAATCTGAGATTCTTAGCAGTAGTATTATTTAAAAAATAATAGTATTTCTGTTTTGACCAGTGGTACTGTATAGAATATTAAGGAATCAAAATACTGATTCTTACATATTAATAACAACACATTAGTACATCATACCTAGAAAAAAAAAATTAGTATTAACTAGTACATGCCACTAAGCAAAATTGGGTTAGTGTTTAGTTTCCCTCCTATGAGGAGACCAAAATTGTTGAACCAAAACCAAAAAAATAACATAATTTTAAGGATGTGATGTGTGGAGAGGCTGGAAATTGTTGATTGGGGGTTTGTGATGGGGTTTGCTTCCAGATCTTGGACCTCCAACATAGTCTTTGTTCATCATGGTGAAAAACTCAGTCGAATCGTCCACAAGTTTCTCTGATTCAAGCTTCTGAAATGATCCATTATCATCAAACTGATCATCTGTTGAAACTAATTTAGTGGATGACTTCTTCGAGTTGAGTCTTCTTGCTGAATTCATCATCGAATTTTCCCTCTCATCCCCCTGCATCATGAAATTCAAATTAAGGAAAAAAAATATAGTAACACGGAAATCACTAAAATTAGTGTAGTAAATTTGCGTATAATTAAAAGAGGGGAACCTGATGATGTACGTTCTTTCGTGAGTCACCAAGCGGCCTATTGGATGGACTATTGTAGTTTCCTGCATTTTAAAGGAGAAAATTCCCAAATTGAGAAATGATTTCATTTCTTTTCCTTTCCTTTCCATATTTCCAGTTCGCTAAATGCAAATTACATAGGCTAGCTGCAGATGTAAGGTTAATTGAGCAAAACTAAATAATTTAGACACTTGATGAAGATTGCAGGGAGGGAAAAAAGAACAGAGGAAAAACATATTTCCATTCACTTAATTTGCTTAAGAAAAAAGAATAGATGGATCAACTACAAAGAATTGCATTCTCTTGCACGTCATGTGAAACTGAAAATTCGTGCAACTTTCTATTTATACATACAAGTATATATAGTACTCTCTTTCTACTAATTTTCTTGAGTTTGTTCACTCAGTTGTTCTTAGGTGGGTGAGGTCTTGCCATGTGATAATCAGCATTAAGAGCGACAAAACTTCCTCTATTGGCCTTCATTGAATGGCTTTTACTACTTATACCGCTCATTTTTCTCAACTTCCCCTGCCCTTTATGGTACTTTAAATTTCCAATAGAATGGATACTTGCACTTGCCGCACCTGATGATTCAGCTTTCTTCACTTCCTTCATGTCTTCCTTTTTCTCAATCATCATTTTTCTTCCTCCCATTTTTACATTACTGAATTCAGCAGCTGCCGGTACACCATCTAAAACTTCCTGAAATTTCAATTTTAACTTTGAAAAATAAGAATTTTGATCATGTAATAAGTGGTTGAACAACTTCATCATCAACCAGTGAAGTTCGAGTCACGCTCGATGATAAGTGAAAACACTATTGATCGGTGGGAAAAAAGGGGAAATTATCAAATCAACTTTATTACCTTCTTCACACTCAGATGACTCCTTAGATCCCTGATGTTGTCAATTTCAGCCTCATGGACTATTTGTTTAGCTGCATAAGGAAGAACAGCTATTTAAATTTCCATTGAAAAATAAAATTATAAATGTATTGAAGAGTGGAAAAAAGAGAAAGGCAGTAAGTACCTTGATCGTCAGTATGAGCAATTGTATCCTTTATGGTAAGAAAAATGAAGAGTAGCATAACAAGCATAAAGGAACTAAAACTTAAAGACACCATTTTTTGACCTCTTTTCTTTTTTGGTATGTCTGCAATAAAGGAGAGGGAGGATGCACATGGAAGGAAACAGGGGAGATTTATAGAAAGCCCAAATTCCAAACCCAAGTCAAAGCTAGGGTTAGAATTATTAACTTTTTCTTGTTTAAAAAATTGGTTAATAGGTACAATTGAGCACCTGGGGAAACACAAAAGACTGAATAGAAAAAAAGAAAAGAGGAAGATGGTTTATATGCGTTGATGTTAGGGAAAAAGGGCTATGATAGCGTGGAGCTGAAGATACGGTTGTTTTTTCCCCTGTCTGCCGCGCCATGCATGCAACGAGGAATTCTTTTGTTTTGTTTTCTTGGCCTACCTAAATTTACACCTATGACTAAGCCTTTCATTTTTTCGTGTGATTCATAGGTTATGAGTTTAAGCTATAGAAGCAACTATTAATATTTGCATTAGAAACGACAGTCTAAATCACACTTCTTAGGGTGCATTAACTATAGTGTCTAGTTTTGAAGGCGTTGTGGTATAAGTAGCAAATGAATGAGAACTTCGAAACTAAGTCAAACTTTAGAGGGGTAGCTAGATTTTCCTTTATGAATCAGAACTAGTTGAGTGTCAAAGCGGATAATGAAAGATTTTTTTTTTAAAAGGGCAAGGAATGATTTAGGTTTACACAAAAGTGATTCAAAAGTATGAACAATTTTGACTTTATGAAGAAATGGGAGAAAATCATAATTCTCCTAGCTCCTATGAAAAAGATCAAACCGTTAATTAACAGTTTATTTCATAAATAAAAGCAGTGTCTATCTTGCCTTTTTTAAATATCATGCTCTACTCTATGTATTTTTGTATCGTTATATGTAATTAATTTTTAAGTTCGACTCTATGTTCTTTTCGTCTTAATTCATAAAGCTTTTCATATTTCTTCTTTGCTACTTGGACATTATATTTCGTACTGGGAAATAGTATTATTTAGAGCTAGAACAGTCACATACTATAATTGCTTCTTGGTAAAACAGTGAACCTAATTAACTATAGCTAGGATTGATTAATTAATTAGGAAACCTTTACAAACCTATTGTTAACAGGCACCACCTGGCAGTCCTGGTCAAGAAAATTTCTCCTACCACTTACTATTGTTGTTAATATAGTATTAATTTTGTTTGGTGAACACACATGATTAATGAATTCTCTCAGATTTCCTTTTGCCAAAAGTAAATGAAAGGAACAGAGTAATATAATTCACCTAAAACACGTACGTCATCTCAAATTATCTATCGTGATTTTTATAAATGATTGCCTAACATTATTTGTCATTTTAAGGTTACTAGTAATTGTTCTTGAAAACCACGTACAAACACCTCAATTATGGGGTGATAACGTATAAATAAAGTAAATATATAATGAATAGAGATAAAATAGTCAAATTTTTTTCTAATTACTATTGTCATACTTTCTTTAGGAGTGCGTGAAAGAGAAACACGACGAATAATTTGAGATCACGTAATATTAGGTAAATGAGGATGGGTGATTATCGAGAGCAAGGAGTCGGTCAGGGGGAAACCCCAAAATGTTGAAGAAGAAGTAGAAGGAGAAGAACATGGGCAAGTGGTAAATTCTTGAATAACTAAACACCTAACCTATGATGCATAACATTATTATATTATATTTAACAACTCTTTTAACTTTATAGTTAGGTTTTAACAAACAAATTCAGAACACGAGAGCTCGACCTCCCATTTTTTTATTATCTTTATCAGTGGGTGCATGCCCCTTGTTCTTTTGTGTCTTAAACTCTTATTTTACTAGTTTTAAATTGACACATCAAAAAAACAAGAAGTTATTTGAACTGATTTTGGCTTTGAGGTGTAAACATAGAAATTGCAGTCCACATCTAGTTTTCATTTTTCCATTTAAGTTAGATGCACAAGATTAGGATACGTATTCGTTAGTGTGAAGGATACAAGTGCTCCACTTTTTTGATGGAAAAGACTCTGATATTTCAATAGTATAACAAAGAGGATATGTATATCATTTTCGATTGTTAGAATACATTTTTCATTTTTCCCTTATAAGTTTGGTGCCGTTCAGCTCTGTGTAAACACAGTGCAGTTCTCTGGAAAATGTAATTACCAAGTTAAATTCCAGTCAAAAAGTGTTAACGCACATTCGTTTACCTTGAGGTGTAAACACACAGTATTTGCAAATATCAAGCCATCTTTATTGGTCCACCCTTGGAGATTGTTCCGTGTTGAGGGCGAATAACTGACTAACTGTATATAAGTCCATGAAAGAGACAAATCAATAGTTAATTACCCCTTTCGTCTTCTATTGGTCAAATATTTCCTAGTTTGACATTTTTTTCTTATTATACTCTTAATTTATTAATATTGAGTTAATGTTTTTAAAAAATATAGTGAATAAATATGTTGGAACCTTAACAATTAATAGAGGTAGATGGTAAACTCACTACATTAATTACTGTTTTTAATAAGTATGTCAAGTCAAAATTTGACAAGTTAAAAGGAACGGTGGGAGTTTTATGTACTCATGTGCGTCCACTTTATATTATAAATAAATGTTTATTTTTAAATAAATATTTACTTTTGTTTGTCTAGCTGGTTTGAAAAATTAAAAGATGATTTATTACTTAAGTCCTAATTTATCTTTACTAATAAACATAGTCATTTTCCAATGCATTAGATTTATTATATTCAAAGGGTGATATACTGTCAAATCTTTCTATAACGTCTGATTTCTCCGAAATCGATCTTAATAAAATTACCCCTATATATATATATATATATAACAACACCTCGACAAACGTTTTCACTATAAAGAGGTTTGACTGTGGTAAATTTATCATTCTATTGATGGTTTTTTAAATGATATGTAAAATCAATATTGGACAAGTAAAAATGGACGGAGGAAGTACTCTCTTTGCCCATCTTTACATATCCACCATATTATTTTCGAATGTCCAACAATGCTTGTCTAATTTATAAAATCAATGAATTATTTATTACTTTGTGTCTATTACCCTTGCTAGTAAATAATGTTCATTTATCAATCTTTAGATGACTTATATTTAATAAAGGGTGATTTGGTAAATATTAATTCTATAATTTACTGTTTTTTAATCCCTACGCAAGTCAATAATTGACAATTATTATTAGACATAGGTTGATTTGGTGTACTAAAACAATGTTCTCTACTCTGTGATTACTACTCATATTTTGTTTGTTTAAGCTGACAAGTAATCAACTATGTTTTAATTCATTATGATTGGTGATTAATTTTAATTAGTGGGATCGACAATGAAAATGTGCTAATATGGTCAGACATTACAGCTGAAATTAAAATGTAATTACTAAAATCGAGGATGATGGAGTGTTGAAACTAGCTAGTTGACCGTTGACTATATGCTTAGAGAAAAAGCTGTAAAGTAATTTTTAACAAACTATTTAAGAAGATTACAAAAGCATCGAGACAGAGTGTGAACTCATGTGAAGGTAACTTTTGCTCTCTGCTCCATCATTCCCCGTTGACACAGTGTAAAACTTATTAATTTCCGTTCATTTTTACTTATCACATTTTATTTTGTAAGAGTTAATTTGATTAATGTTAAGATCTAATACTCCATATCATATCAGATCATATAAAAGGGGAGGGATGAAGTATATTACACTACGAGCAATCTTAAATTATTTAATTTGATTGCACTATACTAGGATGAAGGATGTTGAACAATTAAGGGTCGTTTGATGTGAAGGATGACATCAAATAGTTCTGAGATTAAATTATAGTAACGCTTAATTTGTTATTTGGTTGGCAAGTCTGGAATAACTTATCTCGAGATTAATAATTACTACCGGGAGATAGGGTATATCTATCCTTGGATGGTATAGTAAATGACAAAAATATTCCCTAAAATCCTTTTTATACATCACTTTTCAGATTTATGAAGAGCATTTTTATAAACAAATAAATTATTTTTAAAATTTATTATTTTGAACACATCAAATCCAACACTCCGTAAAAAGTAATCTTAGCATAACTTACCCCGTTATAACTAATTTCATCAATTCATAACTTGAATTCGTAGAGTCTTGATTAGGGTTCTAGGCTTGTTTTGGGAGGTGAAGTACTTTTTTGGTGTTTCAAACACTGGGATTTGGGAAAAGGGAAAAATATGTTTGGGTTTTCAAGAGAGTAGCACATGAAAGGCACTACTAAAGGCAATTGGCATGACCGCCGTGGGTGTCGCTGATTCCTCGATCTTCGGACTTAAACTTCATGCCATGACAAACTTTTTGGCAATAACAATTAACCCTTTTGGAAACTTGCATTTTACTTGCTTTGTAGAAAACCTTGGACATGCTTTGTCACAAGTTAGACTTAGATAAATCTTAAATATATATAAAATTCTTTAAAGTTTAGGTCTTTTTGTCTTAAGTTGAAGCAAAATTGATTTTCTTAGGTAAGGACCGTCTTAATAAGTTTGGAGGCCTAAAGTCAAATTTTATGAAGAGATTTTAATTTTTTTAGTTGACATATATAAATTGAATAATTATAATATATTCAGTGTAATCCTACAAATGAGGTTCAAAAAGATAGGTTATGTGCGGACATTATGAAGTAAAAATGTAAATTTAAATAAAAAAGTTAGAATAATAAAACTTGACTCAACAACTTGAAAAGTTTATATAATGATATCGAAATAATGTTGCACTGAATTAAGTTGATATAGTGGTGATTAGTTTTAGTATTTGAAATTTAAAGAAGATACCAAAAAATAAATTTGATCTTTTTATAAATATACAACAATAGATTTTGCATAATATGGAAAGTTTAACCGTTTGAGAGATTTTAGAATATTTAATGAGAGAATAAAAGTTGGGAAAGGGCAATAAAGAAAAAGTAAATATAGAATAATAATGTTGGTTCATGATAATCGTTATATATAAATGAGACAACAAAATAAATAGCCAAATAAGAAAGGATGCTACAATTACAAAACACTAT